GATTTCCCTTCTCTTTGTACCATATGAAGCTGAATACCTGGTTTCGTTTTATATTTTGAAAGCTATGAAGCCAGTGGCTCCCTTTGTGATAATTTCCAAGAAGCTCAGTCAGATTTGGTAAACACGCCATTGCTAGTTGGCGTAGATATTGTGTATTACCTAACCATGATTCGACTTTGTTTTTGAGACTACTTTTATACCCAATTCCACATAGTTTTCTTTATCACCCAGTAGCACAGTTTGCATTTTCATAGGCCCGCTCATTTATTTTAGAAACAGATGGGTGAGTGGATACATTAAAAAGGAGAGAGGATTTGTTCCCTGGTTAGGAAAGGAAATGAACCCCAGGTTTGTTCTCTACTTACTCAGGGTGATATTGTTGTTAGTTGCCTTTAAGCCTATTGCAATTCATGGGGACTCCATACGTGAAAAGCAGGACTGTTCCATAGCACTTATAAAGGGTGGTTTTTGGAAGCATACTACCACGTCTGTCTACAGAGACAATTCAGGTGAATGTGAATTACCAAACTCTTGACTTGTAGTCAAATGCTTAGCTATTTGTGCCACTTAGGGAAACTAAACAAATGCTACCTTTTTAGCTGTGCTGCCTCTTTCTTGAGAGCCACCATAAAAATGCATTTTTCATCACATAAATTACAGTTTCTTTTTGGACATAACTTTTTACAAGACAGACAAACACACACATCCTACCTGGAGAACGGAAGCACCACTGTGTAGAAACTGGAGACCACTTTCAGCTGAGTCAATCCCACCAGTGGCTAAAATAGGAAATCCAGGCAAAGCACGGGCAACAGAGGTCACAGCTCTCAAAGCAATGGGTCTGATGGCTGTCCCTACAGAACATAAGAATGAGCAACTGTTAGCATACTGGTCACTTGAATACATTGCCTTATACTTAGTTTCATGTGACAGTTAAATCATACTAGATAAAACACAGATTTCTATAATATATATTTAAAATGTATAGATATAACATACAAGTGTTCGTATGTTTCAGAGTTTGCTAATTTGTACATGAATGAGCACTTGTTTGCTAATTTGTACATGAATGGCTGCTCGTTTACCTTCAAGCTTTTAAGACCCCAGACGCTATATCTTGAAGAAGAACAAAGCAGGAGGCCTAGCACTGACTGACCTAAAAACCTACTGCACAGACACAGTAGTCAAAAGAGCCTGGTACTGGTACAACAAGAGATACATGGACCAATGGATAAGAACAGAAAACCCAAACATAAATGCATCAGTCTACAGGCATCTAATCTTTGGCAAAGGACCTAGAAATATCTAATTGGTGAAAGACAGCCTCTTCAAAAATGGTGTTGGATAAACTGGATCTTTGGCAAAGGACCTAGAAATATCCAATAGGTGAAAGACAGCCTCTTCAAAAATGGTGTTGGACAAACTGGATTTCCATATGGAGAAGAATGAAACAAGACCCATTCCTTTCCCCATGCTCCAAAATGAAATCAAGATGCATTAAAGACCTATGTATAAACCCAAAAGCTCTCAGGATCCTTAATCAGAAGGCTGGGACAAACTTAAGGGACCTATAATCAGGGCATGCATAGGCCACCAAGTATAATGGAGGAGGCACATACAGCAGAAGACTAGATAGATGATTGGGACACGCTGGAGTTACATCACTTATGCACATCAAAAGGCTTCATCAGGAGATTGAAATGAGATCCCACAGATTGGGGAAAAAAATTTACCAATGACACATCAGACAAAGGGCTAATTACCAAAATATATAGAACTCTACAACAACTCAAAATGAAAATAACAAGAGGCCCAATTAAGAAATAACATGAACAGATAATTCACCAAAATTGATGTACAAATAGCTAACAAACATATGAAAAAATGCTCACTATCGCTAGCCCTCAGGATACCACTTTAAACCCACAATACTAGCCCACTTAAAAAAAACCCCAAAAAACAGAAAACAACAAATGCTGGAAAGAATGTGGAAAGATTGGAACTTGTATACACTGTTGGTGGACTTATAAATACATAGAGCCACTGTGGGAAACTACATGGCGATACTTAAAGCAACTGGGAATTGAAATCCCATATGATCCAGCAATACCACTATTAGGCATATATCCTGAGGAAATAAGAGACACACACAAGTGGTGTGTTCCTAACAGCACATATTAGGAACATGTTCCTAACAGCACAGTTCGCAACAGCAAGAAGCTAGAAGCAGCACAAATGCTCAACAGTGGAAGAATGGATAAAGAAACTATGGCACATATACATGATGGAATACTATGTAGCCCTGAAAAACAGCTATGACAGCATGAAACACTGCATGACATGGAAGGACCTAGAAACCATTATGCTGAGTGAAGTAAGTCAATCACAAAAGAACAAGTATTGTCTGAGTCCACTACTATAAAAAAAACCACCAACTTAACAAATCTTTGGAACCAATTCCTGAATAAAAGGAGAGAAGTCTACCTACTGGCCATGAACCGAGCTGACAGACATGATGGAGGAGACCCCAACTGTCTAAGGTCACTCCTTCAAAAGTGGGGAATTAGGAGATGACCATCCACTTGAGGCTATACAATATTGAAAAAAGGCTGGGGCAAATTAACACCCCCAGCACCACCACCATACACACACACACACACACACACACACACACACACACACACACACACACACAAACACAGGAATGGAAGGAGCTTTCTGGAAATTCAAGCCAAGATCAGGAGAAGGGACCCTCTACATTATGGAGGAGACACCGATAGTTCTGTTGGTGAGTCTGGTGGGTGATTGGAGAGAACTAACCACATAGCAGGAAGGGATTCTAAACAATGAGTTTAGGGAACCTATGGGGACAATGAGTCAGATTTTAAGCATCTAGGTAGACACTACAAATTCATTTCTACCCAACCTTTGGTGAACCATACCATGGACTAAGACTCATGATGACCATGGAAGTGGATCTGGCAGGCAAAAGGGCACAACACAGGGGCTATTTCAGAAGGATTTAACAAGGAGGACGCACTGAATGAACTCAACCATACATTGAAACTTCCTGAACCATTGGACTGGGGTACTTAGATGGGAGAGGACACAGAGAGTGTTGGCCCCAGGATTGTGGAAGTGGCAGTCATTGGACCTTGGGGGAACATCCGGCTTGGTGGGTGTCCAATGGGAAGGGGTCTAAGACAACCAAACATATAGTACCTCAATGTCCACCCTACTGTGACACAGCAGGATTAGATCCATTGAACAGGTATCTATGCTTGGAAGAATTGACCCAGAAAGGCCCCCACTGGCATCAATCCTCATCCGTAGGGTCAATAGAGCCCAAGTGAATGAGAGATCGAACTGTGTAGAACAAACTCATGGGAGGCAGTTCCAGGTGGAACTGTACTTGCCTAAACTCCTCATACCAACAGTATCTGAAGTGCTGGGTCGTTGGGAAAATTGATGCTGACAGACAATGCTGTGCTTCTTTCTGTGGATCTTTGCTTTCCTGCTTGCAGCTTTCTTTTTTTTTTTCCCCCCTTTGTTGCTGTTTTATCTTTGTTTCTTTTTGGGGGGGTGTGTTCTATTTGCTTTGTTAGTTTATGGCTAATATTGATTCAGTTGATATTATAGGGTTGTGATTTTGTCATTTTATGACTGTCAAAGCAAACCTGAGACAGGCAAACCCCATCGACAAGCAGATGGAGCCTGGACTCCTACTACTGTACTCTAGCCCAATTCAAGAACAGTTAGTTCTGATAGCATGACCCTGCTCAATATTCATGAAACCATCACTGAAGGTAAGGGGCTACATCAAAGTGTAGTGAAGAAAGTGGCTGGTGCCAGGCTATCAACTGAAATAGTGTATTCAAACAAGCAGCCATCTAAGCGAGGTGTCAATTAAGCCCACATGGAAGAAGCACAGCAGTCTGCGTGATCCAAAAATGACAATTATAAAATTCGAACATGGCCAATGGAGAAGTATCAGAGCTAAAATTCTGAACACTAATTTGTAGGCTATAGAGAATAGTGGGATCCCGAAACCCATCTGCAGAGTATATAGTCAGAGTGAGTCTCTGGCAGGTCCTCTCTGGCCACAGTCAAGAGTCTCCAACAGCCTTAATCTCAGGCAGAGACCACTGTCAGCTTGATTCTGCTGAATTGAACTCAAGACTTGGCCAGATGACCTCTCGAGACCTGACCTGAATTGGTTCTGGATGAACATATCTCTTATTTGTTCTATGACAGAAATTTCTTCTCTGGCTTTTTTAATGTTGATGGGGGCTTTCCTTTCTTATGAATTATCTGTATTTGGGTCTTTATATTATTATTTTATCCTTACTACAGTATTTTGATTTTGTTTTTTATTATTTCTGTTGGGCTTCTCAGTTTGTGATGCACAGAAGGATTGGATGGATAGTGATAATAACTGATACAAGGGTTGATAGGGGGTGCAGGGGTGGTAATGTGTCATAGGGAGGGAAAGGGGGTTTCAGGAATAAACAATGAAGACAGGAGGGGAGAGGGAGCATTTTAACTGACTGTGATTACAAAACTCATTTTAAAGATAATTTAACCATGGGAGGGGGTTAAAATTGATATTTAATGATTGCATAACTATCTTTGATATGATTGAATATTTGAACTATTAAATTGTATAATATGTAAATTATGTGCCAATAAAACGGTTTTTAAAATAAATAAATAAATGTAAAAAAGGTTAGAGTTGTTGAGGAGTTCATCTTGCCTGGATTCCCAAGGAATGCTCATGCAATCCCCAACCAATGTTCAGCAATCAAGAGATCAAAAGATGCTGCATTGGTTAAATCTGGAGTATAATATCTCTTTAAAGTTTTGAAATGCAAGAAGGTTACTTTGAGGACTAATTGCACCTGATATTGTCAATTGCTTCATGCATCTGAAAGTTAGACATTGAATAAAGAAGGCTAAAGAAAAAATGATTCCTTTCAATTATGCTGTTTGTGAAGAATCTTGAAAGTATCATGGACTTCCAACAGACAAACAATTCTGTCTTGAGAAGTACAACTGGAATGCTCAGTGGAAGTGAGGGTGGAGTGTGTTAGTCTGGATACTTTCGAGAAACAAATCCACAAAAACTCATGTATAAGAGAGAGTTTTATATAAAGGTTAAGTGCACATCAAGAAAACATCCCAACCCAGTGCTGCCCAAGCCTACAAGTCCAACATTAACCCATTAACCCATATGTCCAACACCAATCCACAAAGTCCTCCTCCATCTCACAAAACACATGCAATGATGCCGACTGCAGGAGGAAAGCCATGTCAGTGAACTTGTAAGCATCTCAGTGCTGGCAGAGGTCTCCACATGGGTGCTCCAGTACCCAGGGCTACATTAGGATAGGTCCATGTGGCTTCTCCTCAGGGATGTCTTGCAGGAAGTGAGCCTTGCAAGCTGAAGTAGGGAACTGTACCCTGGTCCTACTATCAGAAAGCAAGAAAACTGAGAACTATAAAGGTGAGGCTCACCGAGTCATTTATCCCTCTGCCCTTCAATTAACCCCACATGTGTTTATTGGCCAGGTTGGGACAATAAACTAACTACCTAATGGAGAGACTTAATATCACTTACTTTGGACGTGTAACTGTGTGCAACTAAACTCTGGAAAAGGACCTTAAACGTGCTAAAGTAAAGGGACAATGCAGAAGATGCGGTACTGAATATGGATTGACACACTGGTTGCATTGGTAGACTCAAACATAATAAGTGGATAGTGCAGGACTGGGCAGCATTTTTTCCTGTTGTATGTAGCATCACTATGAATTAGAATCAACTCAATGGTTGGTTCCTAATAACAATGACATGTCT